TCTTTTATTATTTTTTTAATCGCTCTTTTTAGCTTTAAAGATCGTTATTTTGCACTGCAGATGACGTCAGTTTATCTATGATGGTGGACATGATGTAATAAAAAAAATTGAATGGCTCGAAGAATGGTGAGATTTGCGAAATGGCTTAACCCAGATTGAAGCGATAATAATAGGGTGTAAGAGAGAAAATCAAAAATTTAATGTGAGAGCAGAGAAAGTGAATGATATTTTTTTTTTCCAATGCGCATTCAATTTTGTTACAGTCAGACCTCTATATAATGAAGCCCCTAAATTCCCGGAAAAAAGTTCATCATTTGGAAAATTCGCTATACAAAAGTTCATCTTTCAATTTTCTTTATCAATCGCATACAAAATATTTTAAATTCATAAACACTATATATTAGAAAAGTAATTATTCACACATTTTTGTAAATTAATATCTTTATATATATATAACTTAACTATCAAAAAAATACTACAAGGAAAGTTTATTGACGCCTTTATCCACTTCCTGAAGAATTATTTTTTTTTCTTTGATGCTTAAGCACTTACGTTTTGATTTACGTTGATCAACACTACAAATGAACGGAGACTAGTTAAAGGACACCAGACAACTCCACTGAGGGTGAAAGGGGGTATCGATTTTTCCAGTGAGCTGGACAATGGGGTTAAGGGTTGCACTTCTTGGATAAAACGCCCTGAATTCTATTGCTCACGACGAGTTAGGCACTTAATAAAACCAGTTCAAGTTTTATGACCACTATAAAATAGTGTTAAAAGAGGAAGCAATTTGAAATGTCGAGAAATACTTTAAAAATTGGAAGGAAAAAATTGAATCACAAGAGAAAAAGTTCATTATATAGAAAAAGTACTTCACTATTGGGAGGTTATTTTACGAAGAAAATCGTGAAATTTTCATGGTTCCAGGAAAAAGTTCGCAATATAGAGGCTCGAAACTGTATATGGAAACTTCCATTTTTTGTCCTATCTATTTAACTTTTCTACCTTTCTATGTATTTCTGTATTTTCTGTATCCATTTTCGTACTTTTTATTTTTGCATGTTACAAAAAATCTTAATAAATTTGTCGATTTATTAATATTGTTATGAATTTGAGGAGGGGAAAAGCAGCCGATGGACAAGGACAACTTCTCGAAGGCAAATTGACGTACATACACAGAGAAATATTATAACGGATTACTTTTACAATAGTGCAAAACGCAATCGTTGTAAACACTTTTCAACGTTCCAGAAACGGCTCTCTAGAGAAGTTAAACTAGAAGGAACTCAGATTGATAATCTCTCTGTCTCTTGTCGCATTTTTCGCACAAGCAGATTCTGATCTCGACTGAGCTCTCTTCTGAACTGACTTAGGGTCAATCCTAGAGCCCTTTTGACGATTCCTTGGTAATATGGTATTTCTCTTCAAATTTCCTAAGATAAATTCCCCAATCTGGTAACACTGGTCACATTTTTTTGGGTTGTCATTGTCTTATTTTTCAAGTTCACACTAAGAAGCGAACTTTAATTGTAAAACTCGATTTTCTTACAAAGAGAGTGTTACCGCAGGGGAAAATAACATACGTAGCATATTTCAAAAAAATTGACTTAAATTTTGTTAGAAAGATATTGTTGCACATTTTTTAATGGAATAAAATTACATAACATTTATTGTGTAACAACCTACTAGAGGTTGTTGGTGTTTGAGGGTTCGAGAAAAGATCAGCCATAACAAGTTTTGAACTCAAATTTTTCATCCCTTTTTCTTAATCAACACAACTAAAGGTAGGAAATGTACTTAGTAATTAATTGGATGAGAAACTGCACGGCTTAAAGTTACTACTTAAAGTTAAACTTATTCTCTTAACCGCTTCTCTTAACTTCACTGTAAATATCTTTCGTAATTATACGAACCCCGGTCGTAAATCTAGTTCAACATTTTAATCACTTTTAATTTCCAATTACAACTATCGGCTATCCAATGACTATCCGTCGACTAGCATCGCTTGCCTAAATGCCAACGCTTAAATAGAAGAACTCATTTGAATAAATCAAATTTTCGAAGGAACATTTTCATCAGAACTTACAGTTAAAAAGAATAATTTTACCCCAAGAGGATTTTTGAAGGTTCGCGGATAGACCTGCTACAATTTAATTAAGAAACTTCATTTTAATGATAAGAAACCACTAAATTTTTAGAAATCTTTCTAAGAAGTCTACATTTTAGAAGGATCACCCATCATGTTACCAAGGCATCGCTTTTCCAATTATTTCTGTTACATCCATGCGCGCAAAGTTAAATTGATTCGAGATAAGGAAAATGCACTGACTTAAGAAAAAGGAATTAAATATCAATTATAAAGTAATATGTGACTGAGATAGGAAACTGATTGAATGAAAATGAGAAATGTCTTAATCGAAAAAAGCGCACGGGTCATTTTATGGCTTCACCAATTCGAATAAAAAAAAGCAATACTTAGTCTTGAGAACAATTATCTAAATTAACGAATCAAAAATTACTTCAGTCTTAGGAAATTGCTTTTTCAATTACTTTAGAATATAGGGATAGTCAGAAATAAAAAGTCGCAAAAAAGGAGTTAAAATCAGTAAAAAGAATTAAAGTAATTTCGTACTATGGGCGACAATGACACATTTTTAAGTAATAAATTAAAAGTATTAAGAATTAGTTAATATATTCGTATCTAGAAATATATTGTAGCAGGTAAGTGAGATTATAAGCAGTAAATTAAAATCATTCTTCGGTGGGCAAATTTTTTTTGTTGATGATAATTTCGTATCCATGGCGGGACCAAATCAGACCGTGAGCCCAGATGACTGTTTTGGCAATATGTGCAATATTGTGGACATAGAAGTTTGTTGTCGAGAAAAGTACCCCTATTTCTTGTAGAACAGTAAGAATAGCTGGACTGTCAAAAATATGAGCAGGTGTTAACTCTGTATCTAAACAGTTATCACAATTCATGTAAGTTCAACCATCCCTATCAAACTTCATTCCTCTGTGATGACTTGTTCTTAGCCTAGCAATAGACTTCGTTATAAGGCGGTCTCCACTTATATTACAGATTTGATGCTTTACAGCATAGGTTCTCAACGTGGGCGATAACGCCCCCTTGTGGGTGCTTGAGGCTTTCAGGGAGGCAGTAAAAGACCCAGAGAAAATTAAGGGGTGCTGAGATGGCATGGAGGGGCTTGGGCAGATTCAGTAAAAAAGACTAAAAAAAACACGCTGATTGTGTACTAACAAAAGTAAACTTTAATAATGTTTACTTATGTTGATTGTATGTATTTAAATCATTTCTGTATCACATGTACGAAAATTCACATATTTCGGTAGTTCGAGATGTGGATGAAAAACTTAAAGATTACATTACATCCAGACCTTCATTAAATTGAATGATATAGTGCATTTTAATTTCTGTAGTGCACGTGTTGTCTTTGTCTGTGAGCAGTAGGAAACATGTTTCGTCCACTTCATTTCATTATGTGTATTATCCAAGAAACATAATTAAATATGTTAACCAAGAATTAAAGTGTGATTCTTTAAAGGCTGAAATGTCAATTGATATTTATTTTGAAAGCAATAATTACTTCGTATCTTCAAAACCCCTGCCTGTCTTTATAACAGGTAATCTAAAAATCTTTTATTCCACTCTTTTAAATGAAAAAGAAATTCAGAAGCGTTTCATTTCCAACAATATATCCTACGTATGACTAAAATATATAATATATTTCACATTTAAATATATTTGTGGCAATAGATATTTCAGATTCGCAAGTAAAAAAATTGGGGCTGTAGAAAAAAAAATTAAATTAAAAAATATATTCTTTTAGTAATAGGATATTTTTTAAAGCTTAACTCTTGTTTTCACCGTGTGTTATGCACACTCTTATTTCTCTAGAGTGGGAGGGGGTGGTATCGAAATATTTACTAGAAAAGGGGGCACCAGTTCAAAAAAGGTTGGGCTTTACAGGAATTGACTCCTCTCTAATATCAGCATAAATAAATGAATTATTTGATAGAGCTGAGTGAATTGATTTAATTTAATTTGCATCATATTTTGAAGCAACACGAGGGCTATTGGCGAGTGAGCTTCGTAAGTTTGAATTACGATCCAAAGGTGGATACGAAGGTGACATCTGAGATTTTTTTTTTTTTGGCAATATCCTTTCCGTACTTTGACACCACACAAAATGTGAGGAACCTCAGCAGATTTGACGTGTATCAGCCTCTCTGCTCCGCGGGTCTTCAGTGGCATTAGGCTTCGAACCAGCGACCGGCCACGAGTTCACAACCATGTTCTTTCGCTGCCTCATATCTAGCTTCGTGTCAAATTTATATGATTATTTTTTAAAAAACTGATTATTGGGGGAACAGAATTTAATTCAATGCTAAATAGGAATAATTTTAGTGAAAATGTATGTAAACAATGTTATATTTCATCCAAAAACTTTAATAATACGATATTTTTTCTATATAAGTCATGAAGTATTATATAACAAATATAAATTTCACTGCGCTATCGAATTTGAATCCAAATTTTGATATTCTCTTATTTTCTTCTTAAGTATTATTGTTAGATTTATTATTATCACTAAAGCAAATTTAGATGAGAATGTCAAAACCTTATTTATATAGTAAAACATTTTTTCTATATTATTTTAAAGTTACTTTCAAAAATTAAAATAGAAAATATGCGCTTTTTGTTGTATTGAAACCGTTGCACTTTTTCAATTCCTATTATTAATTCACTCTCTCCCTATTTATTTATTTATATATCTCTTTCAAATTTTCAATCGTTATAATAAAATATTTTCCTTCATCCATTGAAGTTCAAATACAATTTTTAAACTTGTAGTGGATGACACTTGATGTTAATATAGTTTTTCAAATATTAATTCATTAATTAAATTTAAAAATGAATAAATATTTACAAAAATAATAGTCCCACAGCATATATAAAAAAGAAAATCGTTCGTTGTGTCCCTGTAGCGCAATGGATTAGCGTGTTGAACTTCTAACTCAACGGTCTTGGATTCGAATCCCACCAGGGATGGCCTAATTTCTGAGAATGTGATTTCTTTTTTACTATACTCTTTTATTAGAATAACTTAAATTTAATTAATGAATAAACACTAACTAAAAATATAGTCTAACATCATATATAGAAAGGAAAATGGAAAATTATAGCAAGGAAAATCGTTTTCTATTTTGCCACTTAATATTGTGATTCTGTCTCATTTGTATATACATATTTATATTAATTGTAACTTTTTAATAAAAAGTAACTAAAATGAAAATTTTCTTTGTTCTCTTAAGTAGGAACTGACTTCATTTTTTAAAAATATTTCTTTTTCATTTTAGTACACATAAATACGCTATTTAATGCAAATACTCTCAAACTCAGTGGCGCGACAGCCCATGAGGGCCAAGGCCTACCGTGTCCATCTCAGTATACGTGACCATTGGGCGCTGAGGTGCATGAGCAGATGTTCCGATCAGATGGTTAGCCTGAAGCGAAACCCCCAGTGTTTGGTTCCCAAGTAAGCTTGGTTCTCATTTTTATCGACCCACTGATGGGATGAAAGGCTGAGTCAACCTTGCCCAACCCGGGGTTTGAACCTCGGACCTGTGGTGTGGAAGCGCGATGCACTAACCATTCAGCCACTGGGCTTCTTTAATGCAAATAATAAAGCTAATAATTTCGTTATGTACTCCTTAATAAAATTACAAGTCGCAATTTTCATACATGCAGGATTTACCTTTAGAAATTTCAAAATTTAAATTGTTTTTAAATTAAAATAAGTGATGTGAGATTTCATGCAAAAATTTGGCATATATTCTAAGCAATTTACTATAATTTATTGTTCTTTAGAGATAATTTACTCAATTAATCATCATTAATTTCTCACTATATATCACACTTTTTTCTATTTATGCTTTTTTAAATATATCTTCTATATTAATTATAAAAACGTTATATTTGTTTTTAGTATTTAAATTACATTTATCTTGTTAAAAAATGATTTTGTAATGTATAACAGTTATTCTGATGAATAGCATGCCAAAGTTAAAACTGTATTTTTTCTCTAATAAAATTTAACCAATTCTTTTAAAATTTTCTTATATACTTTTTTAATACTGCTTTATACTGAAATTAAAGTATTCAGAATATATAACTTTTTGGTACTTACTTGTTATACTTTCGATTGTTTTGTCAAATGAAAAGACGTCACCAAATACCACGATGTGCAGCCAATAGTGGAAAATTGTTTCCATGCATGTACAAACACAATAATCTTTATGTCCAACATTTGGCGACATTTTTTGATTTGACGAAATTATATATATTCGACGGTAAACCTACTTTATTCTGAAATGTTGCACTATTTTTGTTTTTGTAGTTTTTTGTAAATATTCTCTACGAGACTGGACAGCTAGTTAGACTACAAAACATACTTAAAAAAAAAGGAACTTTTATATATAAAATATAATAAATTTTATTTTTCAAAAAGAGTGGAGGATTTCGCGCGCGCGTTCGTATTAAATTTTAGCAGTGTTGCCTTTCCTTTTTTTTTCCTTCCTTATTGTTAAAATTTCCCCTATTTAACTTTTATTATATCAACATTAAATTGTTTCTTTAGTAATTTACTTTTTTTATAAATAAAAAACTTCCATACACTTAATTACATTTAGAAGTATTACACACGCATATACATGTGCCATTTTTACTATTTCTCCACGTGCGTTTTTATAGTATGAAGATCTCTAATTTTTCTGTTTTATAATATTTCCTATCAGAGATTTATCGTTTATTCAGGAGATATTTCTTTCATGGAGATTATATTTTAATATAAAGCCTAAAAATGACAGAAAAGTTTTAATTACTTTTGGAATAAATTGACGACAATTAAGTTAAATTCCGTTCTTGTACAAAATCAAATATTTTTAGTACAATTTTATGTCACGTGACAAAAAAATATTCCGCTTTCAAACAATAAAAATTCAATTTATTTCAGAAATCCATAGACAATTACGCTGGTCCGGAGTAAGAAAATTAAATTTTTCTCTCTGTTTGTACGAAAGAAAAACACGCTATTGTTTCCTAAATGTCATTTAAGGTGGAAAAACGAAATAAAATTTACATAACAAAAGAAAACTGTTCTATTACCATACTTGAGACTTTTAACTATGATTGCTTGTCACGCAGATGTCAAATTATTCTAGGGGATTATATGTTCGTTACACAGTTAAGCGATTATAATGCAGGCTTAAAATGTCATTTTCATGGTTAAAAAAAAAAAAAAGAAAATATGCATCTGCTTATAAATGTTGTACCGCTATATCTTTTTATCTTTATGCCACGCAGTTTACTTTAGCTAGACATTTTCAATTCGAACACGCAAATTATCATGATTAGCGAAAATCGATGTGATTTTTTAAATAACTCGCAAGCGCTTAGCCTTTTAAATACTGCATTTTCAACAAACATTTTCTTTTGTTTTAAATGCCTTTAAAATAAATTCGTGTCTCATTTTTTACGCCTTAATTTCGATGGTGACGTTTATACAGAATTTAGATACTTATACAATGCAGAATACTTAATAGAATGATATAGATTAGTCTTAGTATGTGCATAGTAACACTTTAGACCAGTGGTCCGTGAACCCTTGGGGGTCCGCGAAGGTTTCTTATCTATGAAAATGTGCCTTCTTAGACTAGATCACTAAATTGTTACCAAGAAAAATATGTATTAGAGCATCGATTGCGATCGATAATATTATTTCAGTTTTTTTATTGTTTGTAACAACATAAAAATTACTAAAATGTAATATTTTCAAAAATATGTAGAAGAAACACGTGCAAAGATTAAGAACTGAATTCACATAGCGCGTCAATACGATAACGACTGCATCCATTTCGTTTTTCTAACCGAATTGAGCCTGTATTATTTATTAATGTGCACTTACATTACTTACTTGAAACTAGTATTTTGTAATGTTTTTATACACATATATAATTATATATTTACTGTTTTCCTAAATGAAAAAAAATGTAAAAAAGTGTATAAATAGCAGAGATAGTCGTAGAATTATTGAGGGGGTTCCCGATGTCACACTGATATATAAAGGAAAGGGGGGGGGGCACGGCGATCTAGAGTTTAAGAACCGCTGCTTTAGACCGTAATATACAGTAGAAGTCGATATTAATAATAGTTAAAAAACGTCATGTGAGATTTTGTTTCCTTATTTATAACATAATATGTCCTGTCGTAAAACCATTCTACTTTTTCAAAAAATTCATCATCGTCAAATTTTATTTCATTGCAGACGGCTCTGTCGCGCTTTTTTAGTGGTCACATCAAGTCTCTGACTTTTCAACAGGGCCAGAAAGTCTTTCCAGAATGTCATAGATGCGAGGATGATCAGGCTTCTCCCAACCATATTCTGAATTGAATTTTTCATATGACGAGGTTTTAGGAAATCCTATCTTATTTCTAAATTTTTTGGAGATTTTTGGTTTTGTGGAGATGGTGTAGCTCAACTACACCATCTGGGATAAGGAACAACAACAAATTTTATTTCATTTTAATTCAATATTATTACAATACAAACAATTCAAGCTTTTTAAATAATCAATTTTTAAATACTAGATGTAGCTGATCACTTTAAATTGATTTGTGTTGAAGGAAAAACTGCCTCAATAGAAATTTGAATTATTTTTATTAGTTCGTTACATTATATGTCGATTTGATTGATCTTTTATTAACGTCGCACTCTGAAGTTGCATGAAAGTAATTTTAAACCTAGATCAAAGTGACGAAGATAACACCTGAGCTGCTCCTCATGGTCTGAACCTCCTCATTACGCCAACAGGAGAATTTTGAGCCCCTACACAGATTTAACGTACAGCAGCCTCTCTACGAGGTGGGTCTTCAGTGGCAGTAACACTCCAACGTTCTCCTGGGTAAAGGCTGCCTCGAGTTCTCGGCCATAACTATTAGCTACCACTATCAAATATTGTATGCCGAAGTCATAATAGTATGGATTCGCTTTTATTTTCAATACTAGTATAAAACGTCTTCTGATTTTTGCTAGTTATTTCATGCCACTAATTCTTCTTCTTGTTGTTGTTGTTTCTTATCCCACTTGACCGACAGAAACATCTAGATCAAGTCCATAAACCCGTGCGTTTTCAATCCACCAAGAACTGTAGTTGGACTTGAGAGCAGCTGGCTTTTATGGCATCCAATACAAGCCAAGATGTGGGCAGGAGCGGGTTGGTTTACATTGCATTTCGGACAAGGAGGGTAAACTTTAAGACCATCCACACGCCGTTGAGCTCGAGTATGTCCACTTCGTAGTCTAGCAAGAGTAGTTTCATCTCGCCTACTGCTTGTCCCAAGTAAAGCAGCACCACGGCGATTTCCTTCATACCATTCATGTACGAGGGGGCCTTCCTCCAAGAGGAACTGATATCTTGTTTGACCCGGGTAGCAATTCTAAAATTCCACTAATTCTTAAATGTGATATTGAGAATGTGCAGTAATCTACCATCAGATTCCCTAAAAGTTTGGTCGCATTTAGAGAAACAGCTACCTCAGAGTTGCCAGCTGCAAAACTTGCCATTCATGCTAATTGGCGTTTTTTTTTCTTTACTTGTTGAAAAGAGTGGTTGGTAGTATTTTAAGGAGGGGGGTTGTGTTTATATATATAACAGTACATTGTAAAAAGCTACGTGTAATATGCATGATCATCCAAAAACGAGACAGAAAGAAAGCCTAAAGGACGAAATAAAAGCCGAATGAAAGTTCTTTTCGTGTCGGTCAATCTATTTATGAAATATTAGCTGAGTTTTTTTTTAAAATGATAGTGAGATTATTGTAAATCTTTGAAAAGTTATGAGAAACCAACTTATGTTTATTTGTGTTATTTGACGTAGTTCAAATATAAAATTTTTCGAGTTACTATGAAGCCTTAAAAGCACCCAAACATGTTTATTAATTAACTTAGTGGTATTAAACTCTTTAATGCAAAATAATATGCAGTGAGTTAA